GACATCGTGTTAAAGAATTATCGCTGAACATACATAAAAAGATATACCGACGAATTGAGAACCTCCTCCTTTTTTAAAGTCGGTTAAAAAAAAGCAAATATTTAGATAACAACCGTGAACGAGAACTTTTATATTAATACCTATTTGTGTAGTAAGAGCGAAAAGTGATACTATGCAGCTTGAGACAGAACGTTGTACAAGTCAAAATACACACAAAATTTTTCATAAATAGTGTATAAGGTGTTGCCTATATCTACGTTATTCATGAAAAAAGGAGTTGATATTCAAAGTCAATGTTAACTTGAATAATTAAAGAAAAAACATGCTTTGGACAGTAATCGTAGAAAAAGATTATTACCTACTTATCTACTTACAATTTTCTTCTGAAAAGTAATCAAAATGGTACAAAATAAAAAGCAAAAAAATTAACTGTAGGGCTAATGTAAGAATGTAAGCTTTCACGGCCAGTACCAATGTAATATGTGGGGACAACATCTAAAAATGGCAAAGGAGGTTAAATATCTTGGAATCACTCTCGATGACAAGCTTAGCTTCTGTAGCCATATAGAAAAAACAACAGAAAAAGCTCTAAGAATACTATGGGCCTGTAGACGGATGGTAGGGAACGCTTGGGGGCTTAAACCAAGTATGATGCACTGGCTTTACACTATGGTTGTAGTACCGGTCATAGCTTACTCATCAGTCATATGGTGGCACAAGACTAAAAGCATAACAGCTAACAGAAAATTAGACAAGGTACAAAGACTAGCCTGCCTAATAAAAACAGGGGCATTTATAACTACGCTCACAGCAGCAATGGAGCTACTGCTAGGTCTTCCTCCACTACACCTTGTGGTGGAGAAGGAAGCTATGGCGGCGGCATACAGGCTGTTTAGTAATGGATTTGGATGGGAACTTTCGAGAAAAGGACACCACACAATGACACACATACTATGCCACTGCCGGAACCTTAAATGGGAACGGGAATGGTACTTTGGGGTACAATATCCGGAACCTGAAGAAATCGCGAAAGCGCCCATCAGACATATTCTTGAATTCATCAAGAAAATCAATCTGATGGGATATAAACTGTGAGGGGTACAATAAGCCTAGAGCTTCAGTACAAGTGGGCTTTGAACCACGCCCTAATTCAGATGATGATGAACAATGTAATTATTTGTTTCCAGGCTGTTATGCCATGATCTTTCTTACTTATTAATACCAAACGTTTCAGCTGCAACTGCGACAGCCATATTCAACGAACACCTAAAGAGTATTACGTTAGAGCCTCACGACTTCCTAGTCAGCTTTGACATCATCTCTTTATTTATAAATGTGTCACTCGAAGAAGTAGTCAGCTACATAGAGGATTTTTTTCCAGAGCTCATCAATCTTTTTCGACACTCGATCACATCATTATATTTCCAGTGGACTCAAACATTCTATAAATAAATTTACGGAGTCGCCATGGGCAGTCCACTCAGCCCAGTTGTGGCCAATTTTTACATGAAAAAATTTGAAGAGAGCTATCCGCACTACTGAAAAACAACCAAAGCATTCGCTGAGGTATGTAGATGAGACGGAAGAAAAGATCTCCAGAATTTCCTAAACCATATGAGCAGTTTTTATCCTAATACTAGTATCGCTATAAAAGAGCGCGTGTACACTCGGCGCGAAGAAGGATTTAGTTTCAGTAAATACGTCGTCGAGAGGAGTACTTCGTCCACGTTACTGAAGATGGCTTCCGCAATTGTAGTTAAAAGGTTTGGCAGTAATAACCAAGGAAGACCATGGTATAAGAGCCCGGAAATAAATAATTACATATAGGCGTTATATTATGATAAATTAAATGTATTTAAAATAAACAATAATAGTTGTATTTTTCTAATTTTCGTGTTCGAATAATTTGTCCAAAAACGATTTGTCCTGATATAATTTGCCCAAAAATAATTTGTCTAAAAATAAGATGTACAAAAATAATTTGTGAAAATAATTTGTCCAAAAATAGTTTTTACTCAATAAATATAACAAGAAAAACCTTTAATATCTATATATCATAGTATTTTAGGTTATTCTTGAATAAGCTTTAAAACTACGATACAAATTATTAAATTTGGTAAAGATGCCACAATCCGTGCACTCAAATTTCTAATTATCTAGTTCATAAAAGTTAATCCACCAACAGAATAAAATTCAAATTACACGAAGCCAAAAGGCATTTTAATTCTGTTCCATTTCCAAAAAATTAAAACACATAAACCCGTTTCGTATAGGTTTATCCAATAGGACGCGATTCGATATTTTTTCATTGCATCTGGACCTATCTCAATTTCCAATTATGAGCGCGGCCAATAAAAGAAAAACAATCGAAAGTCGAACTAACTCTCGTACAAAGTGAACAATTGGTTGTGGTTAGTTTCGTGCTTTATCCCGATGACATCTCCGTTTGTTCTTCAACTTTGCATGTCAATTGCCAGTCTATTTCCAGGTCGTGAGCCCATGTCCCCTGTCCCTTCTCTTTCCTCTTGTCTCGATTTTCTACGCTATCCTCGTCGAGCTTTATTGTCACGCAGTGTATTCAGGGACTGAATGTTTCTTTTCTAGCTCAATTCTCTGGATGGCACAGCATACGTTCCTATAACTGCAGGAGCTGTTGAAAAAGTTTATGTAAATAACTCATAAGGATCTTATTTCACGATGTTTGTTAAAAACATACATTAATTTTAACCGTAAATACATACTGAATACGACTTTGTACAATTATGTGTGTAATTATAGACAATGTTGTAAAAAATTATTGGTTCGATCCTAGACTGGGCGTGACTTTATGAGTAACAGCACCGTTTGCAACGAAAGAAGCGTTAGAAATTATTTTTAAATTCATTTAAGTTTTATTTGTCACGAACTTATTTTTTCGGTCCAGTTTGTTTTCAAGGAAATAACAAAAAATATAAAGAAATATATAATTTATTCAAAATCAACCACACTTCAATAATTTTACAATATTGTTAATAATGTTGTGGTACACTAACCACATCATTTTGTAGGCTCGGGGCACGTCACACTCTTCCCAAAACATACAACAAAAACTTTGTCGTTTTGCGGAATATTAGTATTATGCAAAATAGCTATTACTATTAATAATTAACCTGTTACCCTATTTTTTTAGCGGAGTCTCTTTACGAGTCCAATTTCTTCACTGTCGAGTTAACAACCGTTCTCCTTGTTCAATTTACATACCCAATTTTTTGAATATTGCCGGCTTACAAAATGTTTATAGTTTACCAAACTTACGTAGTTGATGACTAGACATTATTTTTTAATTATTTTAAATGAGCAATTTAATTTCGTTAAGTAATTATGTCCTACGTATATTAGCAACTCGGCAGAATTTTGTAATTAGGTATGTTTCGACTAAATAAAATTCTGAATTAAAAATAAAATGATTTTAATTGATTTACTTTAATTTACTTTAAAAAACTAAGAAAAATTATCATTATTTTTGGAATTTGTGACAATAGGAGTAAATAAAACTCATCAATTGTTTTTTCAAGAACTTCTAAATATTTAAATCGCCGTAGAAGTTGAGGCATACTGAAGATAAAGTTTAAAAAGCGACAAACAATGGTAAATAGGTAGACTAAATCTCTCACCTCTTTGTTAGGCTCTAATTGGACTTTCAGAGCTACAGGAAAGATATACACACTTTATTTTTAAAATACCTACAATGTATGCTGTGGGATTTATTCCAGAAGTTTTTTTACACTAAACTATTTTAACCATAAAATATAGTGACGTCATTGTTAGTTATTTAGTATACTAAACACTTATTTTCATAACTAATTGATTGTGTCAGTATTCAGAGTGAGGTTAAAATAAATCAAAATTATTTTTAAATGGTTTTTAATTAAACTAAATCTTTGGCGATATACGAATTACATCCCAACAAATTATCTTTTACCTGACCAAGAAAAGGTAGCATCCGAATTGCATCTGGCCTGGAAAAAAGTATTTGCAGATTATTAGTACCATTTTAGGTAAATTCCGCAAAAATTCTGTGCTAAAATTCTTAAAAAACATTAGGCTTACATCTATGCGAAACTGGTTTAACAAACTTAAACTTAGTAATTCTATCTTCTTTAATTTTCATTTTAAGAAAATTTTGTGTTTTTAATATATTGGTGTGACATTTTAATATAACAGGTACAATATTTATTTTTATGTAGGTATGTATCTATATAAAATTACGAAAAGAAAACAAATACTCGAAAACCTTTTCTGGTTTTAAAATCAATAAATACTTTATTATTGAAAGTTTATATCAAAGAAGGGTAGGTTGACTTATAAAAATATAATTTGGTTAAACTAACAACCTAGTATTAATGTTGTTTTGGTCATTGTTTTCCATTCTAAATCGGCATAAAATAATTAAAACACAATACACGACTAAATAACCCACTTTCTTGAAAAACTTAATAATAACTTCAACAAGCAATATAAATACACTAAATGTTCTAAATAAAGTACCTAAGCTTCTATATTTGTAAATGCAAGGGCGGATTTACGGGGGGGTACTGGGGGTAATTACCCCCCCATGATTATAATTTATAAAAAAACTTATAAAACACAATATATACAAAATTGTTTTACATAACAAAGTGGTGCTTCTCATAACGCAATAAAGAAGAAAAATCTGTAAATACGGCAACAATGGATTTCAATGTCTCTCCGCGTGTTGCAAGGCGTTGGCGGTTCGGTTGCGCTCGCGTTGGTGTGTTTTTGTTTACCATTACAGTTTTTACGTCTGGTACGGCCTAACTTACGTTATATACGAGTATACTCAAACGCATGTGCATATAAATGATTAATGTTTTAAAATTTTGAATTGCAATAATTATTGTGTTTGTTACAAAACTATTTAGGTGGAAATAGTTTGGTAAGCAAGGAACTAACTAAAATAAATATAAAAATAAAATAAAATTAACGTTTCTAGTTTCAAAATGAGCAGAAGGCAGAGCACGTTATTGGGTTTTGTCGAAACAAAGAAAACTAAAATCTGCAGTCCATCTACTACATCTGATGTACATTTTAAAGAAGCGGAAGTGAGCGAATATTGTTGTAGTAACACTAGCAGCAGTAGCAGTACAGTACAAGCAGCTGATAATAGGCCCATCGCCAGCATCGCCTTTAATTCTAAAACGCGTAATGTTGATTTTGGGTTTTATATTGACATTGCTACTACAAGTTTTAGCGACGCAGAAAAAGCTAATTTGTTAAGAAATGCCTGGGAGCCTCCAGAAGATTTTTCATATCCATTTAGTGTGCATAGGAAAAACAATAAGGACGTTAAGTGTTATTTGTCAAAGAAACATTTTGGTGAGTTTCGATGGCTTACATATTCATGTCATTTGCAAGGATTATTTTGTAAATACTGTTTTTTATTTGCGAAACAAGGCGGTGTTTACCATCAAACAAATTTAAATAAGTTAGTAAAATCACCTCTTAACAAATACTCGAAGCTTCTAGGAAAAGATGGAGATTTGATTTTACATCAAGCCCATCGGTATCATAAAGAAGCGGTAGAGCGTGCCCAACTGTTTATAAAAAAATTTCGTGATCCTCAAGTCTCAATAGAAAATATGTTGGATCAAAAAAGAAAGCTACAAATTTTAGTAAACCGCGAAAGGTTAAAACCAATTATTGAAGCCGTTATTTTATTGGGGCGTCAGAATATTGCTTTTAGGTCACATCGCGATGACGGTTTTAGTTTAAGAGACAAAACTGAAACAAATAAAACCACCGAAGATTCCGCAGTCAATCGCGGAAATTTCAAAGCTATATTGGAATACCGAGCAAAAGGGGATCCTATTTTAAAAAACTATTTATTAACAGCAGCTGCAAGGTCGACGTATATTAGTAAAACTGTGCAAAACGATATAATTTTGACAATTGGCGAAGAAATTACAGGCATCCTAACAGAAAAAATAGGCAAAGCTAAATTTTTTAGTATTATTTTTGACGAAACCACCGACATTTCGAATACGAGTCAAATGACTTTCTTTGTTCGGTATGTTTTTGATAATAAAATTCACGAGGACTTTTTATGCTTTTTACAATGTCACCAAGAAACATACGCAGATGATGAAGTTTCTATAGAGCCAATTTTATCAGGGTGCCTGTAAACATAACGGACACACGAATTTCGAAAAAAATTTTTAACTAAAAAATAGTACTAACTGTATATATGAAATAACAAAAAAAAAATTTGCGGGTTACGCATAAATAATAGAGAAATTTGAATTTTAACTTGCAGATTTTGGTGTTTCTAACCTAACATTTTTTCAATTTTCGTGTAATGTATGTGCATCGTTATCAAGAATTTCAATTTTTAACAAAACCCAGATTAATAATTGACAGAATCCAATAGGTATTTTTATGAATCGAATACTTACATGTTTGATTTTACTGTCTGCTTTAATCTCATCTCACTTATGAAAAATATTTGGTAACTATTGCGAAGACGCCCTTTTCTTAAAAATACAAATTTTTTTACGAAACTTACATTTTAGGCTTTAGAAAGAAGCGTATTTTTCAAATATACCACCGGAAACCCCATAATTTAACGTTTATAAAAATAAATTGCATTTAAAGGCTTACGAGGATCATTAACTGATCATTTATATAAACTTATTCATTAGAATTTAGAATTATATCTGTCAATTCAAATATTTGCGGTTTTGCCAAGTGTAATTAAAATCAACGAAAAAGAAATTACCCTATTTTTTTAAATAGTATTTCCATACACTTTAAAAAGCATTTCTTTAATTTATTTTCAGTCACATCTGACGATTTATTTAACCATTTTGATTGAATTGTTGTGGTACATAATAAATAATATTACATCATCTATAAAGTAATAAACAAGTACTTTTCGAAATTTTTTAAACATAATTTTATTATCACTTTATATCAGGCATTTCAAACAAAATGGCTAACCGTTTAAAATGACAGGCCACTGACAGGTTATAATAATATGGCAGCACTGTGGGCCTGTCACATACTTTGATGGGCCTGTTGATTTGATAGGATCAATGTTATAGACAGTTATATAGATTGATCATCCATGTATTTCAAAATAAACATATGCTTTTGCCTCAAAGTAAAAATGTAGGAAATTATACTTTTAATATATTCCAAGGTTGGAAATTGGTTTTAAAACACATTTTTCCTAAATCGATTCAAATTAATGGAGACCTTTTATTTATTATTTTATTATTTTGTGTTGTTTAGTTAATAATTGTCTTACATGTGTTTTAATTATTAATTTATTCAATCAGACATCTCGCGGTTTAACCTAACCTAAAAATATTTTTTAAAAAATACTATTGTAGGTATTACATGACTTTTTTAACTCGTTTGTTAAACTTTATGTAGCACTTCCTTTATGGAAATAGTCAAGGTGAGTCAAGGTCATTGTTTAATTTTCTTTTGTGTTTTTTCTGTTATTTTGTATATGTTAATGTCCGTTCATACTTTTATTACAACTGACTCCTTGACATTCTATTTAGGTGTGCCTGATGATGAAGTAATAGCTTCGAAACCGGTCGCCAATTAAAATTGACTTGTGAGAAATAAAGGACCTTTTCTTTAACCCCTTATACTTAATGGAGACTTGCCAGCACTGATCTGTATTTTTTTACTGGATAGGATATAATATAGCCCCCTAAAAATCGTTCGGAAAAATTGGCCAATTTGGGCAAATAATATGGCGGACCGGATGTTATTTAACGTAACCTCTATTTCCATTTGTCATTACATTTGTCATTTAATTGTGTCAACAGGCTACGATGAGATGTTTTTATTTTGGAAAACAAAGTAAAAAGAGTATGAAATAAACAATAAACGTTCATTCCTGAAGACACAATATAGTTCACGTTTCCATTTTTATATTTTCTTTCATAAAAAATCAAATCAAGGGTGAAATTTCCCGAAGGACATCGCCCGCAAAAGGAATAGAAGAAGAATAAGAAGAAAAACTAATCAAATTATAGGTTAGGTATGTCAAATTATCCCAAATTTCAGTTCTGTGAACCCACCATAATTTGCCCAAATCGGCCAGCATTTTTGCACTTCCGGTCTCCTTGGTGGAACGATTTTTTAATATGTTAAATATATCCTATCCAGTAAAATAATGGAAATAGAGGTTACGTTAAATAACATCTGGTCCGCCATATTATTTGCCCAAATCGGCCAATTTTTCGGAACGTTTTTTAGGGGGCTATATCCTATCCAGTAAAATAATACAGATCAGTGCTGGCAAGTCTCCATTAATTTGAATCGATTTAAGAAAAATGTGTTTTAAAACCAATTTCCAACCTTAGAATATATTAAAAGTATAATTTCCTACATTTTTACTTTAAGGCATAAGCATATGTTTATTTTGAAATACATGGATGATCAATCTATATAACTGTCTATAACATTGATCCTATCAAATCAACAGGCCCACAGCGCTGCCATATTATTATAACCTGTCAGTGGCCTGTCATTTTAAACGGGTAGCCATTTTGTTTGGAATGCCTAATATAAAGTGATAATAAAATTATGTTTAAAAATTTTCGAAAAGTACTTGTTTATTACTTTATAGATGATGTAATATTATTATGTACCACAACAATTCAATCAAAATGGTTAAATAAATCGTCAGATGTAACTGAAAATAAATTAAAGAAATGCTTTTTAAAGTGTATGGAAATGCTATTTAAAAAATAGGGTAATTTCTTTTTCGTTGATTTTAATTACACTTGGTAACACCGCAAATATTTGAATTGACAGATATAATTCTAAATTCTAATGAATAAGTTTACATAAATGATCAGTTAATGATCCTCGTAAGCCTTTAAATGCAATTTATTTTTATAAACGTTAAATTATGGGGTTTCCGGTGGTATATTTGAAAAATACGCTCCTTCCTAAAGCCTAAAATGTAAGTTTCGTAAAAAAATTTGTATTTTTAAGAAAAGGGCGTCTTCGCAATAGTTACCAAATATTTTTCATAAGTAAGATGAGATTAAAGCAAACAGTAAAATCAAACATGTAAGTATTCGATTCATAAAAATACCTATTGGATTCTGTCAATTATTAATCTGGGTTTTGTTAAAAATTGAAATTCTTGATAACCATGCACATACATTACACGAAAATTGAAAAAATGTTAGGTTAGAAACACCAAAATCTGAAGGTTAAAATTCAAATTTCTCTGTTATTTATGCGTAACCCGCAAATTTTTTTTTTGTTATTTCATATATACAGTTAGTACTATTTTTTAGTTAAATTTTTTTTTCGAAATTCGTGTGTCCGTTATGTTTACAGGCACCTTTATCAGGCAAGGTTTTAGCGGGGACAGTAATAAAAGCTATGAAAGACTATTCTCTTTTTCTGTCTAACTGCGTAGGCATTGGCACAGATGGGTGTAATGTTATGTTAGGTGAGCAAAAAGGCGCAGTACAAGAACTTAAAAAAAATTAAAAAATGCTTTAAAGTCACCCTGTTACAACCATGCTTTAAACTTGTTTGTTTCTAAAACTAAAAATGTTCAAAGTGTTAGAAACTCTGTGGGCAAAATGAAAGAAATAATTAATTTCTTTAACTCATCACCAAAGCGTTCGGTTATTTTTAAAAAAATATCTGATTTAAACTCTGCGAGACAAGGTTGGGACAGATTTGATAATGATCTTATGAACATTTTAAGTTTTAATATTGCGTTACCGTCAGTATTTTCAAAGTTAAGCGCAGACGAGGTATATACCTCGGTAAAAAGAATTTCTGAATTTCTCAGTCAGTACAGTACAGATTCTCCGGAAATTTTGGAAATAAAATTAAAAGCCGAAATCGAACTGTGGCACAAGAACTTTGAGAACAACGACACAATGCTGGAAAGGTCAACCCATTTTTTTTTACACAATGTGATAAAGAATTTTTCCCACATATAAAAATAATTCTTCAACTTTTGCTGACATTTCCAGTAACTGTTGCTTCAGCGGAGAGATCATTCTCGGCACTAAAACGACTCAAAACGTGGCTTCGATCAAACATGACGCAGGAAAGATTATGCAGTTTGGCACTTATGCATATGCATAGAGAAATAATTATTAATGTAGATAATATAATCAACCGGTTTGCTAACAGTTGCCGACGAATTACCGATTTTATTTTATAGGAAGGTAGGCTGGTTTTGTAATCTACCCTCCTAAGCCAAAAAGCGGTATCTCATTTTTTTAACGCATCAGATAGCTTGAAAAATTCTGCATCAGATAAACTAAGAAAAATAGCTTAGGAGGGTAAGGTAGGTTATGTTAAATATATTTTAACGGAAATTTCATTTAAAATTTGATTGGTTTCTTGTTCCTCTTTTATATCGATAATAAGGAAGTTGTAGAGCATGTTAAATTTTTATTTTTATTACATTTATTACAGGGTAAAAAATTATGTTTAAAAGGGTTTCATATAATAGAAATGAAAAATACATGTTTATTATTTTGCGGCACCTTAAATTATTTTTTTATTAAAAGAAGTGTATACAGCTTCCTTATTTGACTAGACTTTTAATACCTAGTAACAGTTTAAATGTGTTTTTGGTTTTAACTATTTTTAGTTCTAGGTACTGTACTAGTATCTTTGTGATTAAAACTTATTATTAATAAAATTTTATTTTAAACATGTCATCTTTTTAAATTTTTCCCCCCCCCCCCATAAAAAAAAGCTAAATCCGCCCTTGTGTAAATGAAATAAATAAAGTTACGCATATGCAACTAACAATAGAAGAAAGTAATATTTTTTGCCTAGATGTCAGTCATGTTTTACGAAAACACAATTTTATAATCTAGTTCAAATTAGAAAAAAATATTGTGACTAACACGTTACGAAATGCCGTTTTATGTAACTCATTTATGTTGCGAGATCTCCTTCTACTCGTTCCGCAATTATTCACTCGTTAAATGAACTAAATTTCGTAATTGATTGCATAAATACGAGCATAAATAGCCAATATGCAGTTTAAAATATTAA